AAAACCCAAAAAGGCAAGGAAAAAGAAAAAAAAAAAACAATAAACACAAGCGATGTACAACACAATTGCTCACCACCTGTCAACTGATATCCAGCCCGACTCAAGCAGTAATCTGCCTTTCTGGGTAATTCCCCCCAGTTTATACACTGGGCATGATGTGCTGTGGTACAGAATACCCCTTTGGCTTGTTTGGGTCAGGTGTCCTGTCTCTGCTTCCTCCTGGCTTCCCATGCCCCTTCTCACTGAGAGAGCATGAAAGCGGAAAAAGTCCCTGACTAGGGTAAGCACTATTGAGCAACAACTAAAGCACCGATGTGCTATCAGCGTTATTCCCAGATTAAAGCCAAAACACAGCACTGTACCAGCTACTACGAAGGAGAAAAATAACTGTTACAGCTGAAACCAGGACATAGTAAGAACTGATTATTACGGGTCTTTTTCTCAGTGTTGGGAATGGGAGTGGTGGGTAGTGGGGGTGGTGTCTGAAACACAAAGGAGTGGGTATCCAAAAACTGAAAAGGAGCCAGGAGTCTGCACTTACAGCCAGTATTAATTTACTTATCTGTTCCACTTACTGATATTAAAAGTGTTAAGACTTTCACTTCCCTCCACATTAAAATATTCATCCTTACATTTCTGAAGTCTCATCTCCAGGAAATATAATACCGACCAACTACAACCAGCTGTGCCAAAAGAACTGCACTGTAATCAGTGAGTGCTGTGGATTTCAAAGCAAGCAAGACCTGCACGAATGTTTTCTGCATTAAATAAGTAATCCACTCAAGTACAGTCTGTGCTTCTAAAAGCATACCATTTGGGACTTGGTGGTGCATCCAGTACATTTTAAGCAGTTATCCTTGACAGACTGCTTGGAAATCCTAGCATGGGATTTGGCAAACAGGCTCTGTCTCACTAAAACACTTCAGATCACTCAGAATAACCTTATTCTGCATCTACTATACCTATTTCCCACTGGCTTTCCACAATGATGAAGCAGCAGTACACCTCACCTTCATGTGTCAACTTGTAAGTACCAGACTTTAAGAGCTGAAAACAAAGCTGAGACTCGGTGGTATCTCCCAAAATCCACACACTGCTCCTCTTCCCTCCTCCCACACCTACCATGACCACCTCTTCCTAGGTAAGCTCCACAGCCTAGCAATTCATTCTCATTTGGTTTTGATCACTAGGGACCAAGAACTGCAAAAACTTTTATCTCTGTTTAGGAATGGAGTGACCTGTGCAGAAAAGAACACTGCAGCCTCATTAAAAGACAGTATGTTGAGGTTTTTGAAGGTAAGCTAAGCCAGAAATCCTCTTGACAGAAAATAGGCACTAACTTGTGACACTCACACAACCTTCCACCACGTTAGGCATCTAGAGTTCAGCTGTGTTTCCAAAAGAAAAGTAAAAATTCAAGCCATCAGTATTAAGAAACAAAACCATGTGAGGTTTTTTTTGCTAAACGTCCATTAAGACAAGTGAGGAAATGAAGCCTCTTCCTTCCCTCTTCCTTCAACTTCAAATCAGATTTTAATTTTCTTCCAGTATTTCTGCAAGAAACCCCCTTTCTTCCATCTTCTATACCTGCTAAAAAAGCTGCTACAATCAGTAGGAATAGGAGCCAAATTCACTCCACACTCCCCTTCAAACATCACTGACATATTTCTTGTGTTATGAAAACATAGATACTGTAAGGCTACATCCAGCTTAAGAATCCAGGGGGGGAAAAAAAATAAAAAAAAAAAAACTCTCAATGACTTTATTTTCTTGCTCTTCAGAAAATTCCCAGTGGATGACATCATTTACCTCTTGTGCTGTGCTAGACAAGAATCAGTCAGCACCCTCTGCATTTAGGTGTAACAACTCTGACTAACCTATTTAGGTAAGGAAGTACCTATGATTTCCTAGTAAACACCACTGAAAATTGGAAGCAAAAAGATATCCAGCACAGAGGGGGGAAGAAAATCCAACCAAATAAAACCCCACAAAAAAACTGCAACCCCTGCCCCAATTAAAAAGCCAAGTTTTAGTAGCATGTAAACAGCAATTCAAATACTGAGAAAAATTTTATTTTCAACAGCTTCATATGTAGCATTATCACTGGATTCAATAACTGAAGGCATTGCCTAGATCGATTACAATCTCTAGTTGAGCTCACACTAAACCTTTTCCCATAAAGGGGCAATTGTAAATTCTCTACCCTCTTCTCAGCTGCATATTTTTATGAACTATCCAATAACTGAATGCCTCGAGCATCTCCTTCTCTTTCACGTTTGGATTAAATTGGCAAAACTGACAGTGAAACAAACATGTATTTTTGTTTCCTAGGAAACCGAACTCAAACAGAACTCCACAACTCATTTCTCAATAAATTCCTTCAAAACATTACCCAACTTGAACTTCATCTTAACAAAAAAGAGAGAAAACCACAACTAAAAACACAAACGACACCAACAAAACCACAGAAAAACCACACACCTAATTGTTTTCCCCAAAGGCAAGCCACTGAGCTAATCCTATGCTGTGCCCCAGTTCTCATCTCCTTTCACTGCAAGTCAATACAGTAAGCACTGCAGCAACACCAGCCCATCTCTCTTCTCTATAATAAAAAGCTTTTTAAACAGCTCATCTCAATTCCAAAATCCAAAGTAGCTTGCATGTTCCCAAACCCATGTTCCACAAGTCTCACTAGCAAGAGCCCAACTCTATCATTCAGAAGTTCCTGAGCAAACACACACACACATCTGAACTATGCAAACAACAAAATATTTTAACTTCTACAGAATCTCTATATAGAAGATCAACAGAACATAAAGCTCACAAGAAGCCTCTAATACAATTTGATGTGAGCTGGAAAAATAATCGAGAGACTGCAAGTCTTTTCTATGCTAAATGGTCTTGTGTTCTCTGTAATTTTTACCCTGATCATTTTCTTTATGTACTTGTTACATCAAACGAACCCACATTCCCCTCTGCTAACCGTCATAAAAGAAAGAGGACTAGAGAAGTCGAAGTACGTAAGAGTCCAACAATAAATATCTAAGAGGCTCTTATTGAAGGCAGTCTGTATAGAAAAGTTCTGCTCTTCACTGCACTTCACATTTTGGAAGAATTTGGGTAGGACTCAGACAAGTTTCTTGTTGCCTTAAACAAATAAAAATCAGAAACAACCTTCATAATACCCACTGTAATGATCACAACTGACTTATTAATGTGTCCTGGTTTGCATTCAAAAAAAAAAAATTATTAAGGTCACAGTTGCTGTAAAGTACTTTAGCTTTCTTTTTTTCATTTATTTTTTAAACCATATGTAAATTATTCTTAGGGTTTAAAAAACAAACAAACAAAAAGCTTCTCTGTCTTGGAAGGCTTGGAGGAGTAACCCCTAAATTTAAGGGTCACAAAGCACCAGACATGCAGAAAGTAAAAATTAGCATTATTTCAAAATGCAAGAGTCTCAAAAGTCCTGAGATAAAAAGAGTCTGGTAATTTGCTTTTTTTTTTTTGTTCTTGGAAGGGACAAAATCAAGAGACTTTAAAGCACAATTTGAAATAATAAAAAAAAAGGGGGGGGGAGGGAAAGGAGAGAAATAGAAGTTCTTTATCTTTCCGAATCATTCATAAAAACCTAAGATTTGAATGCATATACCTTTTATCAGTTATCTACAGTTTTCCTTAATTAACTTTGATGTTAAAGAAGAGCATCCAGAAGCAAGGTGACAAATAAAAGCAAAACGAGTGCAAGGTTTCTAGAGCAAGACTTAAAAAAAGGTTCTACATAGTTATAAAGGTCAGGATGCTCGTATTTTTCCAGAGAGCTATAGGCAAGTTTCTCTGGACACGAGGTTTTCCTGAAAACTAGCCTGTATGGTTATGTGACACAAGCAAGGGCTATTTGACATACCAACAATAGGCAACACTGACTAGTGTTCAGCTAGACCTCTCCTACTGTTCTGATCACATTTAGGTAACAGATTAATTTCTGTACAAAGAATTTATTTTTGCCCGTAAAACTGAAATAACTCAAGACAAACACAGAAGGCACAGCGTGTGGAATCACTGTCCCTCAAAGCACTCAAAAACCATGTAGATCAAGTCCTTAGTGACATGGTTTAGTGGTGGACTTGGCAGTCCTGGGGTAAAGGTTGGACTTGATCTCAGACAAAGGTCATTACTTGATGATCTTAAGACACCTGATGATCTTAGACAACAAGAGACACCTTTGTCTCTTCCAACCTATATAATTCTACGATTCTATGCTCTACACATTGTGAATTACATCTTTGGAGTTAAAACGAGGTTTCATTTCCGTTGTCGTTTCCACATCTTTTTCCACAAGAACTGGGAAAGTTATCCCAGTTTCTCTATGTGGTAAAAGGAAAAAAGGCAAAAAATATTAACATTAGAAGGCTGCAAACCCTTATAGGAAGGACTAGTCTAAACAAGGGAGAACCTTTAAAAACTCAGCCAAGAACGAAATGGTTTTCTGGACAGCTAATGAGGACAGTGAAACTCTGCATACTACTTTAATGTATCTCAAATACAAAAGATTCACAGACTGTAATGCAGGCACCTTCAAATAAAAGTTAACCAGCCACAGTTGTCAGTCCCTATCAACTGATCCTTATGATCTCAAGTGGTACTAAGAGAACAGTTAATGCCGTATAAAGCTGGTTAGTATGGTTAAAAGGAACTCCTATGGTAAATGATTACTAACAATGATTTATCTTCTGAAGACTGGTTCTGGAGGAATACATTTAAGCATGGTTAAAGTAACAACTCCTGTTCTGAATACTTGGAAAGACTTCAGAGAATTTACTTCCTCCAAGGCATCTGTCTAATGCTATTAAGCTGATCACTAAAACCCAAGAGTCAAATTAAAGGTTTTTCACCCCTTTCACCAGACGACTCTTGATTCTACAGCAAAATAAAGCAGCTTGACAGATGCAACTAAAACTAGAGAGGCAAAATGAAATACAAAGCCTTTGCTTCAGAAAAAAAAAAAAAAAAAAACAACCAAACACAAAACAAACAAAAAATTGTCTAATCATATGATTGACAAGATAAGGATGGAGGAAGCCCATGAACCTTCCTGGTGAATCAGATGAGCAGAAAAAAAATACTTACTAGAAAAATATCAAAAGGTCTTTTTGACACACAGAAAGAAAAGCTAGTATGTAGTCAGAGTTTAGATGCAATCTTTCCATGCAGTGCACCTAACAAAGACATTAGATTTGGCTGCTATGTTTTCAAATATGGTTACTCAGCAAGAAAAAAATTACCTAAATTCTTTAGCCAATGCAAAAGACAACTCAGTGTTTTATTAAAAGCAACTGTATGGGATGGACAATATTTCAAAAATAGCTGGATTTTAATTACAGTGTTTTACTGGTATAGCCCCAGTACTCCAGCATTTATGAGGGGAACTTGAGATGAATAAAATCTTCAAATTGTAACAACTATAAGCTCTTCTGCCCTCACTTGAGGCATTTTGACTAAAAAAAAAAAGAGCTGTATTATTTTTGCTCTAAAACCGCTGTATGTTAAGAGCTTATGTTAGTAGTGAAAAACATGCAAGTCGCTAGTTTTTAAAATTAGCTTTTATGAGCAAGCCACACAGCAGTCTCAGCATCTCATTGAGCAGCAAAATACAGATGTAAGTAATGCTGATGTTACAAAGCCTGGGATTCAAAAAAAAACGAAAAACCCCACAAACAAACAAACAAAAAAAACCCTTCATGCCACCCACAAATAGGGTCAATAGTTATTCTACAGTGCCTGACCTAATCCCTCAAGACAAGCCAGTACATCTTTCGGTTTGTGCATCTTTAGATTTTGCTGCCGTAAGCAAGAACTGTCTTCACTGCATACCTTGCACAGCACGGAGCACACTGTCAGCACTTAAATATAGAAAAATCAGAACACACTGGCATTTTCTTATCAAAAGTTGTAGGATACAAACCTCCAGGAAGATATGATTCACTTGCTGTGTCATCCCCATCATCTCCATCTTCATCATCACGACTCAACAAATTATTTACAGCAAGGTTTACATCAAGATTTGTTCGCTGGAGTTCCCGAATAATAATACTTCTGGACTTTCCTTGTAAAACAACTTGTGCCTATAAGAGCAGAGCATAATTGGTTCCTGGTCACTGTCAGCTCACCAACCACCAGCCATGAGAAACAAATGCTTAATTCTAAAAGTAGTCTAACAAAACCCAAGAGTCAACTACAGTACATACAATAAAGATTCACACAGCTTTTTTTTTTCAGTTTCTTTAACTAGGTGGTCAATCTTCTCTCAGCTCAAGTAATTGAGCTGAATTCCAACTTGGGTACTGAATTTCTTAATGGAATCTTCTCGAAATGCTTAATGCTGTAACTGATGCATAAGCAAAACCTGGTTTTGAGAATATTCTGTATGTTCCCATGAAAGTCCTTAGACTTCCTATGCCAATTAACAGTTTTGCAATCAGCTGTTGTCCAAAAGCTACACTTCAATCCCTGTCTTTGACACCCGTTTCTGTTTCCACTGCCCTTCAATATGTAACCACCTTACTTCACCTTTTTTTCCCATCATTCTAACAGCTCATCTTCAGCAGTTTCTTTAACACTTGGATTTTATTAGCAAAGTGCAAATGCAGAAAAAGCCTTCCATATGTTAAACACATGCAATGAATTTACAAAAACCAGAAGCATTCTGGTCTACTCCACTAAACTGAAATGCATTTTGTTTTTCAAGACAGACTAGCCTCTACTGAATGCCAGAGAAGATGTCAGAGTTCTGGAAGATCACAAACTGTGTGAAGAAGGTAAAAAAACAGCACAGAATGTTTTCATAATGCAGTAAAAATGAGGCACCAAAAAGCAAAGAAAAGAAAGGAATATTTTAGCAGCACACAAAGGTAAACTTTTTTTGACATAACATTCTATGCCAGAAGTTTACAGGTTTTTGAGACATGGTAGAATCTATTACACAGATCAGATGTGAAGATTTTCCCATTGGTCTGCTTCAGAGTTACCCAAAAATGTTCTAGACACTTTCTGCTTTAAAGGTAGACAAAGTATGCTATTAAAAAAAAGGCAAAGAAAGATCACAGCAAGGGAAGCAAAGTTACAGCTTAAGCAACAAATGATACATCAGACTACAGAACTGAACTGACTGGAGCAGGGGATATTAGTCTGTTTTCTATTTCTTGTAAGGTATCCAGGACATCAATGAACACTCTCAAAAAAACAAAACAAACCTGGAGGTGAACAATGAAGTCAACCCTACCAGTCCACAGGTGAAAGAGACCACTGGGGGTCACCTAAGCAAACCACCTCCTGATAGCAGGGCTAACCTCACTTCAGAGTAACCAGTACCTCTAGTATTTTGCCCCTGTGAAGGCAGAAGCTCCCAGCTTTTACTGGTTTTGAATTAAAAAAGCAAAAGGAACTAGAAGCCAGCCTGTCACTGGTGGGTCTGTAGATACCTTGCCTCCTACCTCATATCTTGTGCCAGTCATGCTACAGCCACGCAAGCAGGTTATCGGTGGCCTTAGCAACTAACATCTGTATTCTAAATGTACACTAGCAACTTGTTTGGAACTAAGAAATACAATGCATTAATAAGTCATATTTTGAATGTATTATTTTCTTCTTCTTTGTTTTAACAAATGGCACTTCATCACACAATGCAAAGTCCAACAGCTTATTCAAGCTTTAATGCATTAAGAGGCATAATCAGAGCAATTTATATATTAATTAGTTACATATATAAAAAAATTAAATAGACATGTCCATGAAGAAAAAATATTAGTATTTTAAGGAAATCAAATGTTTAATGTCTCTCTTTCAAATCTAAAATGGATCACTTCTTTTATGAAACAAGAAAAGAAAGTCAACCTGCCCCTGTTCCTTATTCTCCTTCACTTTATTGGCCATACGCTTGAAACGATTGTCAAGTATTTTATTTTCTTACATCTTTCTTACATCTTCCATCTGAAATGAACAATACATGACATTCCTCATCTAGATTAAACCCATACTTTGTCTTAGTGGATGTTTAGGAAATAAAAATGCTAGAATCTGAAATAAAGTCTATCACTCATACCATGCATTTAAGAATAAAAGCAATTCGGCTAGAAAAAGACAATTTTTCAGTTATATGCCACTACTCCTCGGAGAAACTGCACTACTATTACACCACCTTGCTGTTCACATGCTATGCGAAGCTCTCTAGTTTTCAGCAACAAGCAGTCTCTAGTTCACATACCTGTGAAATAAGCTCCTCTGGAATGACTGATGCTGGAATCACTGGTTGTGGCTGACTCCCCAGCAGTCCAGATCCTCTATCACGTCCTGTGCGTATAACTCTGGTTTGCCTTCGAGAATCTCGAGCCCCAGCAGATGATCTACCAGAAGATCCTCCTCCACTTCCACCAACCCCTGAACTCCAGCGACTTCTAGAAGATTAGGTGACATTTTAATTTTTTTTTAATACATCAGCATACTTCAGGGACTACTTCACAAAGTGAGTCTTTGTATGTTAACAACTTTTAGACAGTCTCTAAAAAACACTGCAGATTGACTTCACAGACAAACACTATGGAAGTATCTCTCAAAACTAGTAAGAACAAGAGCACCAGGCAATTGATAAGTTCTGAAATACGCAGAACCACAGGACTCCAACTGGAAGTTGTGTTCTTTCCTACTGATACAGTTGTGCGGATGTGTACATACAGAAATACATGTACACACTAATTCCCAGTGTTTCTAAAAGCAATGGTACCAGCAGCATAACATCCAACACTCAGCTGTTAACTTCCTACTATAAAAGCACATATGCAGCAGCTTCATGGTGAGTGGACTTTTTGACAGAAGGTCACTACACTCAGATTAGTCTTCTAAAATTTCTGAGACTTTATGTTAAGAAATTGCTTAAGAGTGCACTGGAAAATAAAGTAACCTTATTTACTGCAAAAGAAATCTTACACTCAATAGTTCGCTGATTCTTACGGATGTTTTTCAACCTGTTTTTGTTGGATAAATCAACATCAACCATATACATTGCAAAAAAATGCTTGAACTGAAGAGTTTTTCATCTCTATGACTCAGTATCAAAACAAGGGAGTAAAAAGGCAGTGATCTGTACAAATAAGACAATTTGCCACCTTTACATCTTTTCACTAATCTTAACACCACAGAACTGCATCAACTGAATCTGTTCTGGATGCAAGACTAAACACACTGTTGTCATGAAAAACACTCTAGTTTGTTCTTCAAGGTTATCTAAACTTTTTTGCACAAATCTAGCTCAAAAGATACTGGATATGGTATTATTACTATTTAATAACCAGTATCAGAAGAACTTTCTGCTCTCAAGCACCCTGATCCTCAATCTCCTTCCAAGAAAAAAAAAGTAAGAAAAAAAGGTATGTTCTCTGAAACAGTAAGAAATTCCCATTGGAAGTATACCACATGTATCTGGGAAAGGTAATTAATTAAGAATACTTGTCTTTCTTACATGCTATGGCTGAAGTTGATTATTAATACCCTTTGCCAGATAATCTGTTCTGGAAAGTGGGAAGGGGGCTGAAGGGAAAGTAAGAGGAAGTCAAAAATCTTCCTACACAACAATTTGTAATTCAACTCTCAGCAGGGAAGATGTGGGTTTAAAGTAAAGGTTGTGTACTGATTTTAATACTTATTACAGGTGTATTTTCTGTGTTTATAAACTATCAATGACAGAATTAAGAAATCTAACAGTTAGAAGCATTTACATTCGCGTAAGTCAAATATTCCAAATGTGTCCTAACTTGGTCCTGTTATGGGGGAAAAAATAATCACAAGGACACAGCTATTCCTATTAAAGCTATCTAAGCCTAGAATAAATATTAATATAGAATAGAAATCTTTCTGCTCATTTTTGCTTACCTACTGGTTTTCCACATCTCTTTACTGCCCACTAGCATGCTAGCAATTTTCCAAATCCAGTGATTGGAACAGGATTTGACAATTTAAAAGTTTTTAAGACTCGGGTTATTAAATTAAGTAGTTCCTTCACTGAACAGAGCAGTTACAGTGTCTACTATACCACTACTCCAGTAGTTTGGTGACTTTCAAATACCCAATTCCAAAACATGCAAGAGGAGAGATGAGGAGGCACTCTTTAGGGTTTTAACTGGTTATGCTCAGGTAAAAATAACAAGGAAAATAATTTTTTACTTTCCACAGGACGTTTTTCAACAGACAATACCAATTTGCCTTTACAGTTTAATACATGGCCTTCAGGTTCAGATTCACAAAGATTTCACAAAAAGCTGGGGGGAGGAGAGGGAAGTGTAAGAGACTGGGTTATCTTTCATGCAACGAAGCCCCAGATGAAATTAGCTTATTTGGCAACATAAAGAACATTCACTTTGGTGGAAAAGCTGTAGTTCCTCCCTCTTAACAAATCATTCACATGCAGAAACCGGTTTGTAAATGCAACTCTCCTCACTATGGTCAGCAACCTTAGGAAGCAGCAATGCTCAACACATCTTACAAATATATATTAACAGAGAGTTCACTGTGATTAGGTAACGGAGATTAATTGACACTGTTATATAAAAGGGACACCATCAATTTTAAAGCTAATAATAAAAAACCTGAATCTGTATAGTACAGTTAGTATATAGTACAATTTTAAAGATTCTGAGTGGCAACCTTTTCCAAATGTT